ATTAGGAATAATTGGTATATATACCCTCTGTAAACCGCTCTGAGACCCTTCGGGGTCAAGGGCGGTATAGAAATCGAAACTATAAATAAATAAATAAATAAATAAATAAATAAATAAATAAATAAAATAGGATCACCACTGACCTCCAGGTGACAGAGATCAGTTCACCAGGAGAAAATGGCCACTTTGGAAGGTGACACTTATGGCATTACACCCCAGTGAAGTCCCTCCCCTCCGCAAACCCCACCCTCATCACACTCCATCCCCCAAATCTCCAGGTATTTCCCAACCTGGAGCTGGCAGCCCTAGATGAAGTGGACTAGTCCACAAAAACATATGGCATAATAGACTTGAAAGAACTAAAAGGGTCTTTGTTGTTCTTCTGCTATCCATCTAGTATACTTTTTATGAGATTTAAAAGTGGGTTGGGAGAAGCATGTCTTCCCTTGCTTTGTACACACAGGACTTTTGTCCCACTACAGTCTCACATCAAATAATGTTTGCAGGCTTTTCAAAAGCAATACAAAAGCCTCCAAAAGCTACTTACCAGAGGCAAGAGGCAGATGACACAGGGTTGCCAACACACGGGTCTGGGGGCAGGGTTTCACCTGCTTCTGGGGGCTTCTATCTGCCTGCAGCCAGCTGGCCATCAGGGAAGCCCCACCCCCTAGAGCAACCTCCCGCCTGGCCACCCCTCTCCCTCCCCTCCTGGCTGATTTAAAGGACTTCAGCTGATCGGTGGGGACCACATGGCCCTCCAACCAGCTGGAGGACCCTTTAAATATAGTAGGAGGGAACGAGAGGAGCAGTTGCAGGCCACACGCTCAGCTCGTAAAAATACCCTTTCAAGGTGGGGGGGTAGGGGAAATCAGCCCCAGACACCACACTGCGGCCCCCACCCTGCTCACAAAAAGACCCTTTAAAGGGACTTTTTGCAAGCTGAGTGTGAGGCCAGCAACCGCCTCTTCCCTCCCGCCTGCTAGATTTAAAGGGCCCTCCAGCTGGTCGGCAGGCCACATGGTCCCCACCAATCAACTGAAGCCCTTTAAATCAGGCAGGAGGGGAGCGAGAGGGGAGGCCGGGCAGGTGGTTGCTCTTGGGGGTGGGGCTTGGGGGGGCAAATGCCCCCCAAGTCCCCCCACCAGAGTGACAAGGGGACCTAGCAACCCTAAGATGACAGCAATCCCTCTATCAAACTACTCACAAATTTCTGGAAAAACATCAATTGTAATGTGTCTCCAGTACTCACAACTAGTTTCATGCTAGCCAAGATGACTAAAGGCAGGGCTTTTCTTTTGGGGGGGGGGGAGCGGTGCCAGAACTCTCAAGAGGGAAATAACATTTTCAATCTGTATACTAAAAATTCATGAACTTTTAAACATTTTAAAAGAACTTTGTCAAAGAGGATCCAGCGCATTCCCCCAGAAAAAAGCCCTGCTCTTCATTTATCCATCTTTCTCTCCCAAGCTCAAATCCACAGACCGAAAACACACTTGATTATAATACTTCTCTCCCTGTGGTTTACAATGTGCAAAGTGGTTTGTTTTGTTTTTAATCAACAATACCCTAACTGCGATCTGAACTATTGAAGTCCTAAATTCTGCCACTTTCAGGTACATCAGCATGGTGTAGTTGTTAGCATCAGATAAGATAAGACCCAGGTTTGGATCTCCATTGCCTAAGAAGCTTGCTGGGTGGCCTTGGGCTCTCTCTCTCTTTCTCTCAACCTAACCTACCTAACAGACTGGTTGTTGTGAGAATATAATGGAGGAAAGGAGAATGATGTTGTAAAGCCACTTTGGGGGGGCCTATAACTATCTAAATAAAAATATATTCTGTCTATTCTGGATAACTTGCTCAAAATATTCTGCTCAAAATATTTCACTTTGATTAAACCAATGACTTGATCTTACCTGGGTGCTCAGGGGTGATCTCTGACCCACAGAAAAGAGTAAACCTTTTCTCCTCCATCTCAAACACACTTGTCTTTTTCCCATGATTGTGTGCAGCAAGTTGTGTGGGACCCATGATGGCTTCCTTAGTGGCGGTCACATTCTTCTCATCTCTGAAACATGGTTGCTGCTAATCTCAGCACTGCACTGCAGCCTTGTTGCCAAATGCAGAAGCCTTTGGAGGAAATCAGAAGCATAAGAAAACACAATACAATTCCTGAAACTACTAGGAATATTTTTTTACACACACCATTTCCATAAGTGTGTCAACCCATACTACCACTGCCTCCAGTGGCTTGTTTCCTCAGAATTGTCATCTCTTCCTCTTTAAGTCATAATCATCTGATCTAAAATATGATCTTCTTGCCTACTTTTGCTGTCTCCAGTTGTTCTCTGTCCACTTCCCCCTCCCTTTGTTTTGTTCAGTTTTACCTTCACTAAAGTCTCTGATATTATAAAATTGGTAATGAAAGTAAGACATTCAGAAACGGAGGTCTTATAGACACAACAAAACAATATGAAGGATGGCTCTGCTCCCTGCAATCTAATTAAACATAAAGCTTGTGGAGTCCAGGCTTCTAAATGTTTCATTATGTATTAGGTCTCTACTTTTTCATAGTTCATGAGATATCTCACAACAGAATCAAAATCACTAACAACCAAATAAATTAAGCCAGCATCAGATACACTACAAATGTTAGAATCAGCAAGACAGCTACAAAAAATATTTCACCAAGGACCTGGGAAAACAAGGTCTTCTGTGTGTTGCCTAAAATTCCAAAGAGCAGGCCTGGAGTCAAGCAAATACAAGGAAAGAGCTCCATAAATACAGCACCACACTGTTTCTACTGGCCACCAACTTCATGGGAGCGAATAAAGCAAGGCGCCCATTAAGGAGTTCCTGGTCCAAGTCTCACTGCTGAAGCACATTAACTCCCGTGTGATTTTTAGGGCTGCTTTAGAGATTAGATGCTGAATGTCTTTGTGGACCAACTCTTCACTAAACTTTACAACACTAAAGCAGGAAAAAAAGAGAGGGAAAGGGTTTAATGTCTGCACTTGAAAATCCAGATGACACAATTTTGCTTTTCCACTTCCCTCCGCTTAAAGGTAAAGGTTCCCTTGCTCAAAAGCCAGTCGAATCTGACTCTAGGGTTGCGGTGCTCATCTCCGTTTCAAAGCCGAAGAGCCAGCGCTGCCCGAAGACGTTTCCGTGGTCATGTGGCTGGCATGACTAAACACCAAGGCGCATGGAACGCTGTTACCTTCCCACCGAAGTGGTACCTATTTATCTACTTGCAATTTCTTGCTTTAGAACTGCTAGGTTGGCAGGAGCTGGAACTAGAGATGGGAGCTCACTCCATCATGCGGCACCAGAGTCTCGAACTGCTGAACTACTGACCTTTCACAGCCTGCAGTTCAGCGTCTTAACCACTTGAGCCACCGCAGCTCCCTCTGTTTAGTAGTTAATAAAAAAAACCTGAACAGACCCAAATAGATCTCAAAATGGACACACCATCTATCCAGCAAGAAACCCAAGTCAAACAGCAAAAGTGAATCTTGCTGCCATCTGAATCTACAGGGCAGTCTTTGATAGGATAAAACTTTGATGTTGCTGTTTGCACTTGAGTAGATTAATAAAACACTATTGAGAAAGACTTCCATTTTAGAAGCATTCAAACTCTATATAGGGAGTTAAAAAAAAAAAAGCTAGCTACCTGCAAGTAAAGCTAGCTCATCTTAGTTGCAACATCTAATTCCAAAGCAAAGGAATCCAGCTCCTCCTCCTTCTCTTCTTCATCTTTGTCTTCTTCTTAACTGTTTAATCAACCCAAGAACATAAATAGTGCCTGCTGAATCAGACAACTGGTCCATCTAGTCCAGCATACTGTCTTACACGGCAGTAGCTGGAGATCTCCTGGGATTACAACTGATCGCCAGGCAACAGAGATCAGTTCACCTGAAGAAAATAGCTCCTTTGGAAGGTGGACTCTGTGGCATTAGACCCCATTGAAGTCCCTTCCATCCCCAAACCCCACCATCCTGAGGTTCCACCCCCAAAATCCCCAGGTATTTCCCGACCCAGAGCTGGCAGCCTTACACAGCAGCCAACCTGTTGCCTCAGAGGGCCCAACAATCAGGGCATAGAGGCTGAGGCCCTCCCCTGCCACGGACTTCCACCACCAGAGGGTTGCTTCCTGTGGATATGAAGGCATCCTTCCATCACAACAGCTAGTAGCCATTGATGGACCTATCTCCATGAATCTGTCTAACCTTCTTTTAAAGCTATCTATGATAGTGACCATCACTATCTCCACTAGCAGAGAATTTCAGTTTAAATACTCATTGAGTAAAGAAATGTTCCCTTTTGTCTGTCTTCAACCTATTTCCCCACAATTTCATTGGGTGCCTCTGAGTTGCAGTGTAACAGGAGGGGAGGAAAGATCCCTCAGTACATTTTCTACACCCCGTGCATAATTGTATAAACCTCTATCTTATCTCTCTGTAGCCACCTTTTCTCTATGCTGAAAAGTCCCAGACTCTCCAGCCTTTCCTTAGGGAGGTAGCCTAATCCCCCCCCCCAGCCACCCTGGTGGCCCTCCTTTGTACTTTTTCCCATTCCGCAATACCTTGTTGGAAATTCAGCAACCAGAACATGATACAATAATTGATGCTGCACCAACCATTGCTTTAACCAAGAGCATTACAATACTTGCTGCTTTATTTACAATCCTTTTCCTAATAATTACTAGCATGAAGTTTGCCCTTTACATTATTGCTGCACACTGGATGGACATTTTCATTGAACTTTCCACTACAATCTCAAAATCTCTTTCAATCCCAGGCTCAGACAGTTCAAACCCCATCAGCGTATATTTAAAATTTAGAGTGTTTTATTCCAAAATGCATCACTTTATGCTCACCACATTGAACTTCAGTTGCCATATGGTTGCCCACTCACCCAATTTAGAGAGGTCATCCATCCTATAGAGCTTCACAATCTGCCTTGGTTTTCACCATCTGAATGATTTGGGATCATCTGCAAAGTTGGCAACTACTCACGACCAATTCCAAATCATTTATGAACAAATTAAATAGCTCTGGTCCCAATACGGATAATTGTGGAACACCGCTGCTTACCTCCTTCCATTGACAGAACTGTTCCTTTATTCTCTCTCTCTGCTTCCTGCCATTTCACCAATTTTTAATCCATAAGAGGACCCATCCTCTTGTCCCATGATTTCTAAGCTTACTCTGGAGTCTGTGGTGAGAAACCATGTCAAAAGCATAGCCAGCATGTCTCAAGCAAGAACAAGACTAGACTATGCTTGGGAGGGTGGGATTATTTTCTGCTGAGGCATCCTCACCCCCACCCCAGCAGTATCTAAAATAGCAGAATTGGGGGTGGGCTTCCTTTCCTCTTTCTCAGTTTTATGTCAACTGTGGACAGAATCACTGCAGCACTGAAGTGGGAAGAGGCTGAAATATTTTCTCAAAACAGAAGAAAGGGGGGAATTCTACACGACTCTAAACTACATTAGGTAGAAGGGCCAGCTAAAGTCCTTTCTATAAGCCACATTTTCCATGTGTCCAAACTTAATTCCTAGGCATGTGTGGGCATGATTTGGATCAGGACCACAGCATTTTTATTTAATTATTTTACTCCATTCATACCCTGCTTTTCTCCCAGATGGGGACCCAAAGCAGCTTACACCATTCTCCTCGCTTCCATTTTATCCTCCCAAGAACCCTGTAAGGTAGGTTAGGCTGAGAGTGTGTGACTGGTTCAAGATCACCCTGCAAGCTCCCATGGCAGAGTGGGGATTCAAACCTGGGCCTACTAAATTCGTCCAACACTCTCTAACCATGATCCCACACTAATTATCACCACACTAGAAATCATATGGGCAGAAAGAGCTAAAGTCCTCTATCCTGCACCATTTTCCTGACTCGAAGCGGTCCTGGGGAGCCAGTATTTGCCCTCCTGTGGAAACTAACAGGCTTCATGAAAGTTTCCCCAGTAGGGCAAATAACAGAGCCTGCCTTGGGGAGAGGGTGGGGTATAAATTGAATAAATGAATAAATAAATAAGGTAATGTCAAGTGGGGGGAGGGAGACACTTACGTGTTCTCTCTCGGTATGCACTATGATCCCAATCACAATCTGTTTATCATATACATCTGATCAAACAGAAACCAGGTAGCATCCAGCTCTGGGAGTTCGTTTCATACAAAGAGTTCAGGTAAATATTTTACGTTTTGAATTAGGCATTATTCTCTTTCTACATCCATTCACGTTTTACGTACACTCAGTAAGTTAGCTGAATGGTTTAATTAAAAACAAGTGAACTTTTCTTATTTTATCAGATTAGCATAGAGGCAAACCTGTGTTCTTATTCTATTCTTTATATATGCAATGGAATCCCACATTAATGTCACAAGTCTAGAATTTTGCAAGTTTTTAAATTTTTCAGCTATACATATTAATCTCCACAACATGCATGCTTAGCATGGTCATTAGCAGATTAAAATTCTGGACCTATAACAATTTATTTAATTGAATGATTCCATTTTAAATGATCAGCACTAAAAAAAACCACAACCTATTGTCAGGTTCAACGTTTACAGACCCTTCCCAGGTTCAGTCCTCATCATCTCTAGTTTAAAGGGAAGGGAGTCAGGTAGTAGATGATGTGAAAGACCACATCTGAGACCCTGGAAAGCCACTCCTAATCAGACGAGACAATAGCTCTGTTCACAAGTTACAGTGAATGCACATACAATTGGCATGTTCGTGCAAACGGCTGTTTGTATGAAACAGCCAAGAAGAGTTCACTTTACAAATGAAACAAAGGATCAGTACCTAGATAAATGTGGTACTTCCATCACACATTCAATTGTTCCTGGACTGAATATAACGTGAGAATTACTCAATGTGTGTATAAAGAACAATCAGATGTACATTGTAGGTGGTTTGTATAACTTGTGTCCAGGGCTAATACTGGCCCTGGTAGGCAAATAAGGCAGCTTCAAGTGTTCACTGCCGATTAGTATTTAACTATTCCTATATGGTTTTAACAACCAAACCTGACCCCTATAATTAGCTCTTGGGGTGGGAGGAAGCAAAGAGAGGGTGCTGTTCTCTTTAATAACAGAATGGAACTGCCAGGTTCAA